CAGCAGAATGTTTGCCATACCCATCCCACCAGAGTTTGGCAGAAGACGCGCGAAGAAGCGCGGCCACATCCCAAACTCCACTGCTCGGAAGAACCTACCGACGATGACCGTGAGGCCCTGCCTTTGGCGAAAATGGTGTGGTTGACCAAAGACGTGCGGGGCATGCGACCACCCGAAGGACAGTTCTCTGGGGATTTGTGGACGCTGAATGAGCGGCCACCTTTTGATCTTCTCCGCAACTGCCGAGTAAGAAGAGTAGATCTGTGACCATGACCTCTGCACGAAACCTTCTGGAATTGTGATGTCCCTGATGATCTCACCTTATCGTTGAGGTTCTCGTTGGAAGCTGGTTTCTGCCAACCTGCATTGAACACTTGCAGCAAGTGTTCATACTGTGGAGATTCGGGTCACCAGCCGGGCCAAATCCTGCATGAGCTCGGGCAGGAGTGAGTGCTTTGGATTGTTTACGGGCCGCCTCTGTTCGCTCTATACCTCATCGTTTGCAAGGCTTTTACAAGTTGTTCCCAAGGCATTTGAGAAATGCAGCCAGCTGTGACGTGCAAACCTGAACACCAAGTTTCCTTCCGTATCAGTGAGCCATCAAATGGGGTTTCCGAAAATTGGGGGCTTGGGGTATACTTGGCGTACCCCTGTTTTAGGAAAAAAACCGGATGTAGTACTCAAGCCTATTGAAGACAATCATTCATATGCAGGTATATGCAGGTATCGGCAAGAGATGGCAAAAGTCTTCCCTGTGTGCTTGGAACGCGCATTCACTCTGGAGATTGAACATTTCTTGCCATGCCACATTTTTTCCAGATGCATTTCGTTTTTGAAGATGCTTGCGAACCTGAGCCATGGCTGCTGTACACGCTGCAGCTGTGTCCGAAGCTGTGCCAGAATCTGAGTCGGGAGCCGGAGAATCTCTTTCAGTGTCGGGAACTCTTTACCTGCAATCGTGATGTGATTCAGTGATTCACTGGTGCGGACACGTCTCTTCAGCAGATTGGGCATGAGCTTCAAGCAATGAGCTTACTTTAGAAGCCGAGAATACTCGGTATCCTTTCTCGGGAAACAATACAGCAACTGTGCTGTCAAAATCGAGAAAGGCAACCAGGAGATCAAGATTGGAGGACGGTTTCCGATGCTACACCACTGCAATCGAACTCAAAAGCCTCAAAACCTCAGTACTCTGGAAGTGGCGACCTTTCATCGATGCCGCCGTGGCCACGTGCCCCGGCCGAGGCGGGTCGTCGCGTAGCGCTGAAATTATCTCAATCAAGCTCGTACACTTCAAATCAATCCAAATCCAACTTCCCCAAAATGTGAGATTCTACACCCGCGTAGCCCGTAATAACCGACAAAAACATTTTCTCAGCACCCGGAACATTGGACTTAGCCCCCCTCGAGCAATATTCGAGTTCTCGAAGAATATGAAAAAGTGAAATCCTAGACCTGCCTAACCCTAAATGACCGGCAAAAAAAATTTTCTTCTGGAGGCCGAAACATTGGAACAAGGCCCACTGGTGGCTTGGATGACTTTGGATGGGAAAAGGAAACTTATTTCCTTTTCCTTTTCTCATCCCAAATACCTTTGATGCTGAAATTGAACAGTTGGAGCCCGAGACAATAAAACCGCCGATCGCATTGTCCTTGGATTTGGGATGGGCTTAAGCATTGTGTTTTCGTGAAGTGCTCTTGAGTAGTCAAAGATCCTAGACAGGGCCATTCTCTACACGGCTGCATGCTTGCAGTTTCCACTGATACCCGTGACATGCTGCGATATGCCACGATGCCTTCCGATAGCTTCTCCTGGAAGGCTTGGCATTCTTCCGCCTTGTCCGCGTACTCGTCGGACTGACCAAGCTGCAGGTGACTACCGTACTGAATGGCAATGTTGATCTATTCTTTCCTCTTTCCTCTTGCATGCACGGCGGGCGTTGCCGCCAAACTTGACACTACAGAAAGATTTGGCGCTTTGAAGTTTAATGCTCCACCACCGGCTATCCCAATGCATTCCAACTGGCAAAGCTGTGCCCACGGTAGATGCACAACCTTCGGTGGATCTCAGCCCGTGCCTCATAGAGCTCCTGCGTCCTCTGCGCAACCACCTGCTGCCAGAAGTCGGCCATTTCCTTGAGAGCTGGTCTGAGTGCGAGCCCTCCGCTCGAACAGTTTAAGCCATGTTGAAAGCGTGTTGTGGAACGAACTTCCGGGCCTGCTTGGCTTTGAGCTTTCGGGCAAGCGTGGCATTGTCGTACTTCGGTTCCTGCAAGCTCGGCACGCCGCCGCATGTTGTTCTGGCAGCATGGAACAACTACACTTATGCAATCGCTCAACAATGCTGACAAGGATCGAAGAATGTTGATGGCAGCATGTTGGGAAACAGCCGCAAGAAGAACGGAAGAGCAAACTCCTTGATTGCAGCGAAGGTCAGCTTACTAACGGATGATCATCACTTGCATGACATGCAGAGAAGTTGGGGTCAGCACCGCAAAGGGCACCACGAGGAAAAAGGACTGCCACTAATGCGATCATAGTTTTTAAAGGCTTGGCGGTCCAGCCATTTACACAACACAGGCATTGAGCCCTATAAACCCTACAAGCGCGTCGGTGTCGCGAATGGAATCAGCTTCAAGCAGTCACTGGTTGTCCTGGCATTGCTGCTTTCATCTCTCTACACCCTATCTTTTTCCCCGCTCAGTTTCTCCCAGGATGAATTTGCTCTCCTGACCAGGAGGCGTCGCTCCCTGACGGAGAGCGGGTAGCCCTTGATGACTCGCTTTGTGAGGTAGAAGGAGGTACGCACGTCCGCACCAAACAGCTTAAAGCCGGTGTAGACCCACCTCACTCCAAACAGGGAAGTTAGCCAAACAACTTAGCCACAACTTCTCTCAACCCAGAAAGACTTGCACTGTCATAGCCCAGCTGCTTCACAAAGTGATTGATAGCATCTCGGATATCCTCGTACCATTCCACTATGATCAGCGGATTCCTTGCCTGCAGCGGATGGTGCTCAACATTGCTCATATTCCCCAGCGAAAAAAGATGGCTGTGTGCACACGCGTGCACACGCGTGCAGTCTTCATGCACCGAGCCAAGCGCGAAAGCCGCGCACAGCACGGCGATCCGTCGAGCCTGAACCAAAACGGTTTTCTGTTGAGCAAAGCAAGAGCCGCAGAAGCCGCGGGAGCTTCAGAGACTTCATGCGGAGAAATGCTGTCTAAATGCCCCACCAAATGCCCCGAAGGTCCTTCTTAAAAGTTGGGGTGCTCCAAAAGTGTCAAGGCGTGTCTCAGGAGGGAGCCAGCCAGCGAAGCGTTTCAGCGGTCTTGTAAGCGGCCTTGGACGCTGCCTGTCAGGTCTGCCACTCCCAGGAGCAGTCTCTCTTTCGATGCATTCTCAAATGCACCCACCTTAAGTCCTTTCTGAGCATAGGTTGAGACGATGTTGCTGGATGTGGACGGAGAAGATGATGAAGACGCTGAGCTCGGGCCAGGCTGGCTGGAAAACTCCCGCAGAGTCGGAGCCGGGCTCGTGAGATTTTGGGTTTGACGCCGCAGCTGTTCCCCGAGTGCCAGCTTCCGTGTGTGTAGCTCTCTGGTGTCCGTCCTGGCCTCGACCAACGATGCCAGGCAGGGTGGCTGATGCAATCGGAATGTTAAGATCCCTGCCGCCGGAAATCTTGTTCGGAACGGCGTCACCGCTTCTGGGCATCTTTTGGGCATTCCAAACCTGCACAACGATGCTTGAAGATATCTGAAGGATTTGAAGACTTACAACGCACCAAATCAAAAATGTATCTCAGTGCGCAACTGTTATGTCGCAACGCGCCTCCGGCACAGAACGCCATGCCTTCCAGCATGCCGGGCGTGCCTGAGCATCATTTGGCCTGAGCGTTTTGTTGTGAAAATCTTTCGTGGGGCAAATTGGGCTCGCCCCCGGGCATAGTTGGCCGCCCCTGCTTCTGGGAACTTAACTTTACGAGCGACTCTCCCCGCGCTCATGCCCCTGTCAGACTACACTCAAAACCCCCCACAGCAACATTGGAGGCGCCCCCCTTATACGATCCCGTGTATGCACAGAAGGATAGGTTATATGAAACATTTCATCCCAAACGAATGAAACGCACTAAAGACTCTAAAGACTCTAAAGACTCTAAAGACTCTTAAAGACTCTAAAGACTCTACAGTCCACACAATAGAGCGCACGCTTAGACAATCATGTTTCAGTGTCCAACACGGACCCGAAGCCTACTAGTACAAAGTTACAGCAGGGCTTCCCACAGCTCCCCCACCTCTCAGTTCATCTTCCGGATGTAAAGCCCAGGTAGCACTGCTGCTCAGCGCCCCAGCTCTATCCGATGCACAATTCCCCGAGATTCATCGAAATTCAAAAGCTTTCAAAGATGCCTGAAACGTCTCTGATTTCCCATTTTTCAAAACAGCATTGCCAGCTTCTGGGCGGGCAATTCACCCGTCCAAGTCCGCATTAGTTCGGAGATGGGACTGACATGTGCAGCTTTGTCCTTCCTTCCTGCCTTCCTTCCTGTGCGCACAGCCCGCCGAAACGGATCTCTCTCCTTCGTACACGGACCCAAGTGTTTCCGCCCCCCCGCCCCCCCCAGTGATCCGATGGCAGTATGACAAGCTGCTTAGATTTGCATGATCTGCTTCATTGAAGGCCACAGAAAGGACACGAGAGCGCGAGAGCTTCCAATTTGCGCCGTGTCGCAGGCCGGGTGCGCTGGGTGCGCTAGACGCCCCCCATGGCGCTTGCGAAAGGTCGGCTTAGTCTTCCAAATTCAACTCATAAGAACTAGTCTTCGCACACTCCGCTCACTTTGTGATCTGGGCTACCGCGGCTAGGAATAATCTTTAAACTTCCAACTGTCACTGCTGTCAGAGCCAAAGAACCAATCAAACTAAACAAACACGAAGACCCATATCCTCCAGTCAGAGGGGCGTGTGGCGTGTGGCATTCATAATGCAAAAGGGCACACTTCCATCGGAAGCAGCGCGGCGACGAACAGGGTGTAATCGACAGTACCTACAGGCATCAAAGCGATATGTCCAAGAAGCACCTCAATGCAACATAATTGACATCATGCAAAAGCACAAAGCACGGATGCCAGAGAAAGCAACCGTGACAAACATGCAGCATGCCCACCCCCACAGACATTCAGATGCACCAACAGACTTAGAAACATAATGAGACAGAGAGAGAGAATGTAAGAGAGAGAGAGAGAGAGTGAGAGAGAGAAAGAGGGAGAAACAGGGAGAAAGCGAGCGAGCGAGAGTTGGTGAGTGTCGCTCAGATACTTCATGAGAATTCCAGCGTTCACGCGAATGTTCGGAAGTGACAGCATGCATCTCGGGCACCGTTCTTTGTTGCATCCAGCTTCTCGACCAGAACTTCCAACTCAGTCAAGCTCACCAAATCCTGCAAAAATGGGAATTCTGCAACTTTCGTCGGTCAGCAAGAATAAGCAAAAACGTGGGAGAAGTGAAGAGCCGGGCAAGCGCTATGTCCACCACAATCGGCTCTTTTGGGCGGGGCAGGCAATCTTCAACCACCGACGACAGCGGGAGGCAGATGCCACTGCTGCCAGCACAGATCGAGAGATCGAGGTGCAGGTGCTAGAAGAATGTGTCCATTTCTGGGAATGTAGAAACAATGCTTGAAACTTGTCAGGGGAATTGCACTTGCTCGATCTGTGGCAGGTGATCATCAGCTCGCGCCGCTCAGAGTCGCGATCCAGCTCTTTCGGGTCTGGTGCCTGTGTCCTGCAGGGCATGACGATGCATGACGTCAGGACTGCCGCAGCGAAGCAACATCTGCTAAGTTCCTTCCACCGTCGTATGGCTGTAAATACAGCAACCGGCTCGGACAGTCCCCCAGCTGCCTTCGAGGAAAAAAAGAGATGAGATTTGTGCGACGAAATCTTGAGACAGGATCACACAACTATCACACACCTGCCTGTTGCACTGCTGGGGCATCCCAGCGCAGGAATGGGTTCGTTGCTTTCTCGTAGCTCAGGATGGTCGGCACCGTGGCCAAGCTAGCCTCACGCATCCTCCGCACCTTCAAGACGCCAGCAAGGCTTGCATAGGCTTGCATAGGCTTGCCATCTTTCGGCTATGGCAACATGTGGCAATGCTCCTAACCAGCGCAGCAAACCTGCCTCAGCCTCGCGAGCTTGGAGTGCAGCGTTCTGGGGCTCCACCTTCAAAACGATGTGGTTTATCCACATGTGCCGACAGATGCCCAATGCGAGCCTGTGCTGCAAACTGGACGTTGGAAAGGGTGTACTCATGGGAGCAGAACCTCTGAGTCGCAATGCTGGAGAGAAAGGCAGCAAAACAAAACCATGTTGATTCAGCAACTTTGCAGCAACTTGCAGATGTTCTCAACAGGCGTACAGACTGTGCTTCAAGCACGATCGTCTCGTCAGGAAGCTGTCGCAGCTTGTTCATGGATGCCTCGCAGCAACTCCGACTGCCCCCCCACGTGACGAGGAGCCAGCAGGCATATCTTTTTGATCTTCGAGAAGTCGGAGCGAGAAATTGAATGCACACATGTGACAAGTCATGCGGCAGTTTTCGCTTCCCAGCGATGACCAAAGCTGCGTCAGCAAGAATGAGCGCCAGCGTAAATGCAGCACTCAAACAAAGCGAAATCAAGCTAAACAAACAGTTTAAGCCTTACCATTAAGCCTTACCATCAACATGTGTTTACATTGCATGACAGGACAGGCAGCGAGCGGACGGACACAGACTGCAAGCGAGCCAATAGGAGGACCCGACAGTGACAGGGGTAGCCACGCACGCATTCTTCAGGCCGACGGCCATATTCTGAGAAACAGGCAGTTCTAGCCAATATGGTCATCACAGGTGGAACCGGAAAAGCGGACCAAGGGATCAGGCAGACCTCGTCCGCAGCGAAACTTCAGGGGGCTTTGGACCTCGGCCGAGACCATCGGCCAGGGCCACCATGGAAGCCGGGATGGTGATCCTGCATGTTAAAAGCCGCATACTGGGCAAGGTTGAAGGGGCAGCGGAAGCATCTAAACGTTGACCGAAGTGGACAGGCAAGCGCCCAACGGGCAGGGAGGCCAACGCGTGCAAGAGAGCGCACGCGCTCCCAGGCAATGAAATGCTGCGACGCGTATGGCGGGAAAAACACGGAAAACATGTCAAGTTCGGGAGCTCACAACGTGCTTCGGAAAAGCAGGCATCGGCCGAATCGAAGGGCATGGCACATGCGAAACCAATTCCAATGAACTCAACCATGTGTCACTGATTTTTGGTTATGACTGACCACTACGCCAGGGTACATCAGGTATCTCACAAATGCGCTCAACCTCGGCATGAACATGGCTCGCACCTGCATCTGTGCAAAGTTGCCCGTAAATACGCGTCCACATCCCATGGTGAAAAGAGCATCGCCAGTCAGGGCCATAGGAACCTCCACATGAGCAATCATGGTAGTCATTGTCATTGCAGTCACGACATGAGCAGGAAATCTGAAGTCCGCCATCTAGAAAAATATCGGCGCTGTCCCTCTCCGTTGCTTGGTGTTGCTTGTGCATGGGGTGTTGCAACACGTTGCGCCACGTGGAGTGCCTCCTCGAAGAAGTAGGCGATGTGTGCTGCCGTGTGGCCGCCAACTTCGAGCCTCGATGCAAAGCGGCGAAGCGCATTCGGCGAAGCGCATTCTTGACTAATGATTGATGAAGCCTAATACTGCATTTACGAAGGTCATTTTTCTCGTCCTTTATTCAGAGAATTCCTTTTATTCACCTCTGGCATTTGCTCAGCTTGGGGCACACGGGCACGCAAGGCCTCAATTCTGAAATAGGGAAGGTGAACTGTGAGCATCTGTGAGTAAGGTACCACATAGGGCCTCAACTGTAAGTGAAGTTACAGCGTTCTCTTACACAGCATGTGAGTACGAATTCACATACAGGCCCAAACGCCACAATTGACTTCGTCGCCCTCGGCCACCTGGCAGTCTCAATCACATGTCGCATGCCGCAGCAATTTGACTGACTTCAATTTCTGACTTCAATTCATGATCTCAATTTATGATTTCCATCTGACTTTCCACACACATCTCACTTGACAACAGAGTCCGGGTCCTCGAGGTCGACTCCTGGGATCGTCTCATTTTCGAGGCCTCTGCTAAAGCCGAGAGAGACCGAGAGAGTTGGAGCCGTGACGCTCTTGAACTGTTTGGGCCTCTAGGCATCTCTAGGATGCAAGAAGCGGGTGCATGGGGTCAGATTTCCGAAAAGGACCCGGCTGAAGTGCCCCACAATCTGGACCGCGGGAAATTCAGCCTGGCCAGGCTTTCTTAGTAATGTCTTCGTCGTCACACGTTTGTCGTGCTGTCTACCAGCCCTATGCGTCCCCGCAGGACTACCCAACCTTGAGCTCCAGGTTTCCGCCCACATGATCGCCTAGCAGAGTTATGGCTGGGCCGGGCCAGGCCAGGTGTGGCCAGTCCAGCAAGGAGGCCATGATAGTGCGTGTTGAGGATGTGGGTGAGAGTCCACCCTCGGTTCCGTATGGCGGTTGCTATGGGCCCAGCCTGGAGGTCGGAGAGCACTCACGTGGATCAAAAACGGAGTTCAATGTGCATCCAGCATCTTTGCATCCAGCATCATCGAGCCTCAGGTGCGTCCATGACCTTACAATCGACTGACTCGACTGCATCGCTCCGCATCGCAAGGGGCTTCCTCAGAGCTTGGCAAACGTTGCTCCAGATGCCGCATGGTGTATAACGGGGCAGTAGTTGTCTCCGAGACAAGGCACGAGCTCCACCTCAATGTGCTAGAATCGGACAAAGCACGTCAGAGTCATAAGAATGTGCAAGCCGAACCCAACCAGACCAGTGCACTTCGCAGGACACAAATGCTGAGCCAGCGTCTTCAAGTCCTGCCCGGGCCAGTGTCGCTGATGAAGCAGCCGCTCCCATACCCTGACAGATATGGTAGGTCGGGAGGTGACAACTTATATCAACAGCAGCAACACGACACTGTGAGGCAAAACACTTGTGGCCATGCCTCTGATGCCGACATAGGTGTAGCGCATTCCATTCTGCTTTGTGTGAGCGGTCTCCGAGCAAAGGCGGCTGTTGAAAGGCTCACTGAAAGGGCTGCGCTCACCCGACCTGAGTAGCTCGGTGCCACTACGAGCTACAGCAATGCGATTTCGAATGGCTTTGACTAGCCCACATGTAGATTGGGCGCCCGGCAGTTTCGTGCCACCGCCTTTGTCCAAAGTCGTCTCTTCCACGTAGATGTAGGAGGCGATGCAGAGAGGGCAGTCACTTGGCCAACTCGGCCGGCCACTCGGCCGGTCACGCGGCCAGCCAACATGGCGCAACTTGCTGTAAGCCAGAGAAAAATAGAGAAAACATACGACATCTATCTTTGCCAGAACAACTGTCACAAAAGCAGCTCAACAGATCGGAAGGTCCTCACTCCCCGGCGTCGGGAAGCCAGGAGACAACGACACCTTGTAGAAAGATGGAGGACAGAATGGCCAGAAGTACCCTCTCGTGACAGAAAGCCAAGCCCGGAGCTGGCGAGCTTCCGAGGGTGGAATCTTCATCCAAACGACGCATGAACTTGCGGAAGCTTTGCTTCATGTGCTGACCTGGGCGAACCGAGTGCCACTGGCGCTACGACGGTCCGTATGAGTTCGCTCGCAGGCAGCATCCTCCCCTTCCAGCAGACTGTGGAGTGATTTAGCGCTTGGGGCATTGATGGACTGTTGACCTCTGTCTGAGCAACAAATTGTTGGCGCCTCGCCGGGGGCCCAGCAGCCGTATTGATCAAAATAAACCCCTGTTTGCGCATGCAAGTGGGCACAACTGGACAGAAAGCAAAGCCGCATGGGCCTGTCACATGCTATAGGCTTCAAAGACAATGACGAAGTATAGCATGGCACTGTACACCGCACATACTGTGCTTTCCGCATATCAGATATATCACATAACCTTGCAGCATGCACCTACGTCCCCGGAAAGAGGTGGCTTTCGTTGGCCAGAGTCCTCCTCATTTCGTACCCGACCGCGGCCATCTGTAGCCCGCTTTCCAGACCCACGTCAACTGTGCAGGAAAATGCGAAGCCTTCTTGTTCCTAGGCATTTATGTCCTCCAGGCATGATGCGCCTGTAGCATGATGGAACCATGGAGACACGTTGCTTTGCCAAGGTCTTTATTTGCTGAAAATAATTGGCGCATCATCCAGCAAGATACATCCCTTGGCTTTCCCTTGGCCGCAACTACAGCTGCCCAGAATACCCGACCGCGGCCATCTGTAACCCGCTTTCCAGACCCACGTCAACTGTGCAGGAAGATGCGAAGCCCTCAAGCCTTGTTCCTAGGCATTTATGTCCTCCAGGCATGATGCGCCTGTAGCATGATGGAACCATGGAGACACGTTGCTCTGCCAAGGTCTTTATTTGCTGAGGATATTGGCGCATCAGCAAGATACATCCCTTGGCTTTCCCTTGGCCGCAACTACAGCTGCCCAGGATACCCGACCGCGGCCATCTGTAACCCGCTTTCCAGACCCACGTCAACTGTGCAGGAAAATGCGAAGCCTTCTTGTTCCTAGGCATTTATGTCCTCCAGGCATGATGCGCCTGTAGCATGATGGAACCATGGAGACACGTTGCTCTGCCAAGGTCTTTATTTGCTGAAAATAATTGGCACATCATCCAGCAAGATACATCCCTTGGCTTTCCCTTGGCCGCAACTACAGCTGCCCAGGATACCCGACCGCGGCCATCTGTAACCCGCTTTCCAGACCCACGTCAACTGTGCAGGAAAATGCGAAGCCCTCAAGCCTTGTTCCTAGGCATTTATGTCCTCCAGGCATGATGCGCCTGTAGCATGATGGAACCACGGAGACACGTTGCTCTGCCAAGGTATTTATTTGCTGAGGATACTGGCGCATCATCCAGCAAGATACATCCCTTGGCTTTCCCTTGGCCGCAACTACAGCTGCCCAGAATACCCGATCGCGGCAATCTGTAACCCGCTTTCCAGACCCACGTCAACTGTGCTGGAAAATGCGAAGCCTTCTTGTTCCTAGGCATTTATGTCCTCCAGGCATGATGCGCCTGTAGCATGATGGAACCACGGAGACACGTTGCTCTGCCAAGGTCTTTATTTGCTGAGGATTTGCTGAGGATATTGGCGCATCATCCAGCAAGATACATCCCTTGGCTTTCCCTTGGCCGCAACTACAGCTGCCCAGGATACCCGACCGCGGCCATCTGTAACCCGCTTTCCAGACCCACGTCAACTGTGCTGGAAACTGCGAAGCCCTCAAGCCTTGTTCCTAGGCATTTATGTCCTCCAGGCATGATGCGCCTGTAGCATGATGGAACCATGGAGACACGTTGCTCTGCCAAGGTCTTTATTTGCTGAAAATAATTGGCACATCATCCAGCAAGATACATCCCTTGGCTTTCCCTTGGCCGCAACTACAGCTGCCCAGGATACCCGACCGCGGCCATCTGTAACCCGCTTTCCAGACCCACGTCAACTGTGCAGGAAAATGCGAAGCCTTCTTGTTCCTAGGCATTTATGTCCTCCAGGCATGATGCGCCTGTAGCATGATGGAACCATGGAGACACGTTGCTCTGCCAAGGTCTTTATTTGCTGAAAATAATTGGCACATCATCCAGCAAGATACATCCCTTGGCTTTCCCTTGGCCGCAACTACAGCTGCCCAGGATACCCGACCGCGGCCATCTGTAACCCGCTTTCCAGATCCACGTCAACTGTCGGGCAGACGACCGTTTTTTAGAGAATTGACAGGATCATAGCAGCAGCAACTTGCATGCAACTCTCGCTGACATCCGTTGCACCAGCAGCGACGTGCAGTCTTAATGATTCGACTCTTCCCTGGCTGGCGCACGCAAGGGTTTACAATAACCTCTTCGTATGCCATGACAGCAGGACGACAAAACTTGTATGCAGATTGGCAAGGGCTGAGGTCCAAGCGCACATACAGGCCTGTGACGCTCCTGCCACCTCGGGCATACAGACGTTTGGCCGTTTAGCCAATTTCAAGAAGGTCAGCTTGTTTAGGATCTGGCTGGGCGAGAAGGCAGAGCCGCTGGAGCTGTTGCTACGTGTTGTGCGCACGCTCTCACCAGCCTGTCCACCGGATTATGTGAGAAACGTCCAGATTCGCGGAATCTCAAACCAACGGTCAAACGTCAAACGCCTGCAAGAAGGACTCGTTGCTGGCGGTGTTGAGCGATGAACAGGATGCATCTGGGGGAGGGCTGCTCCCACAAAATGCGCTGTTCAGCACCTGGGACAATGCAGCTTGCACCCACACCAAGCACAATGACTGCATGACATGCTGGGGTCAGAACTTGAACAAGTTGCTCATTTCGAAGCTTGTCCTGCGATCCTTTAAAAGCTTGGTACGCAGTCTCTGCGAATTTCCGCGAGGGATTGTCAGCCTGACAACGATGACGATTGCAAAATGATTAATCATAGGGCGCGCGGTCATCACACCCGCCATGGCAACAGAGATCTTGAAGCCTCCATGCGCTTGGCAATGCCGGCAATAACCATTCGCCTGGATGCAACCAGGACATGATCAGGCCAGCAACGCAACATAGTTTTCATATTGCATGGTGCATAGGATGAAAACTGCGGGACATGTGTGGCTGCGAAACACTACTTAGTTCACATCTGAGACCAGAAGCAAGACGTGGCAAGACGCGGCAAGACGTGGCAAGACGTGGCAAGACCCCGCCTCAGAAATGGATGCTGCCGCCACCGTCGCAAGCTGCGCAGCACTGTGCGAGCAAGCTCGGCGGAGCTCTGAGAGAAGCCAAGCCCTGCACGGTTCTGTCATGTTTGGTCAATCTCATTCTTCTTTTTTTATGGAGGTCTTGGGCAGCTTTCTTGAAGATGCAAAGATCTTGTGAGGATTACGCCAGGGAATCCTAGGAGCGCCCTTCTAACCATGAAGCAAGATGCAAGGTCACTCCAAGTTGGAATGGACTGCACTGAAAGCTTATGAAATTTTATGAAGCTTTAGTGCTCTACTGCTTTGGCGAGCTCACTGGCAAATCTTGCTTCGAGTCAGACATGGCTGGACTCTAAGGATTCTAGCCCATGCCTGGCTAAACACGTTGCGACTTGAACTGCTTCCCACGTCACAGGCAACCATCTCACCTTCCGATCGGTCAGTGAAGATTGACCTGCACGATAAGACAACTTCAAGGTAGTGTAGACCCTCGATTGCACCTGACCTTTTTGCCAGCCATCCAGCACTTAAATCAAGACACGGCATGACGCGGTGTAGAGTGGAAAGAGATGTCAAGAATCGGCCTGTTCCCCAAGGACTCTGGAGATGCCCGGGTGGTCTTCATTGCTGAGAACCACTGGCAGAGACTCGATTTGGCTCAAGGCTACAAACCACAGCATATGCCACTTGTTGCGGGTAATCTGGGCACCTCGTGACGGAGAGCTTGCGGTGCAGTCCATCTCTCCTGCCCAATCTACATGTCAGCCTTAACTTCCACATTCAGCAAGCAGACCGTGCTGACCCTGCCTCCACTTCTGGCTGCAGCAGCTTTCTAATGAGGTCAATGGCCTCCGGAGAGACTGTTTGCCAAACCTGCCAGAAGCAAGCTCGCCATGCATTCAAAAAGCCGCCACTGGCTTCGGACTTGCAAGAAAGGGTCAATGAGGCAAGGGAACCTGGTTTATACGGAGAGTAGGAAAGCAAGGCTCCTTCCTCTTGCAGAACAAGCCCGAGCCTCTTTGGAGAAGTCCGGCGGCTCTCCTCAGTTCTATTCAATGGAGACTGGGGATGGCCCCACTACATGGCCCCACTACATATGGCCCACTTTTTGGCCCAATGGTCGACAACGATCTCTCTCTTTTCAGGCCGCGACCGCTGGCTATCCTGTACTCATCCGATCCATAAGGCAGGTCGCCCGAAAGCATCACCTGCCAACAAGAACTGTGTCGAAACATGTGCAACACCAGAAAGCGCATGTGGGTCGAGCACATGGGAAGCCCCCGGGCCCTTTCTGGCGCTCCCACCCCCAAACAAACCCGTGGAAACGCCAGCTTCTCTCCTCGAAGTAGGGTTCAAAAGTTACGATAATCGGCAGACATTCCGAAATGTGCGTTCCTTGGTCCGCAAACTGGCCCCTTGGCTTCCCCCCGAAGATATGCCTGGCGACGCCAGATTATCTTCTTAATTAGCTAGAGAACATGCCTGCGTGTCTTGTGCTTGGCATGAGTAGACTTTGAAGTCGCGCGAACACCCTTTTCCTTGCAGACCATAAAGGAGACACGTTTTCTTGCAGACCATAAGCAAGACCCTAAATCCCCAAGGCCGTGTTAAACCCGTCGTAAACGCTTAAAGCACTGCCAAATAAAGTGCGGCAGCAGCCGACACACATGAATTTTTCCGAGTACTCGCTGCCTTGTGCCATGATCACAAGGAGCCTTTTCACAAAATGGCGAGCAGAAAAACCGACTCCTTGATGAAGTAGAAATTTCAAGTTGTTGTTGAGTCAATAATAAGCACCATGCAACAGCCATACTGACACGAGAGGCTTCTACAACGTTTCAGTTTCTGGGTGGACCAGACTTGCCAGACGACGCCGACTTACCTGTTGCATTAACGAGACACAGCCAGTAGTTCCAGTTGATTTCTATATATATATATGTATACATATACATACATGTTTTGTACACATCTATATATATATATATATATATCCAAAAATTCGTGTTTCTCCTCAGGTCCAGTGCTCGCTACCGATGTAATTGCTACAGCTATGGTATCTTCAGTTTTGGGTACGACGAATGCTACCGAAAGCTTTCCAAAGGCTTCGTTCGGTCGTCGAAACGTTATGGCGCATGGTTTGCAGCTGCACCGCATATCCAAAGATTCTCCAAGCACTACATCCAATACAATGTCACACTCAGTAGCTTGTTCTGTGGTCTGGTGTTTCAGTGCTCTCCAGATGCTACGAGGATAGCCCAAGCTCTGGGAGTTGGACTTTCTGATCGATTGCTTTTTCCATCGTCAATTCCCTCGATCCACCAGGCCCCCACTGTCTATTCATTCCAACAACTTCAAATCGAACTTTACATGATCCACGCTACTGGAAGACTTGGCAGCGAATCTCTGTAAATTGATTATTTGCCGACCCAAAGCGCACAGTACGAAAGCCGCAGGAGGGATTCTTACCTCACTGTCGTCTGGTGCAATGTTGACAACACGCAGCAGACGATTGAAGGCATCTCCTTTAAATAGACGGATTCTTTGGGAGTAAGTGTTAACACTGCGTCTGCAATTAACCCTGCCTTCTTCCCACGTTTGGCTTCATACGGCGAAGTTCTGCCTTTCTTTTTGGGTGGCATAAAGATCATAAAGTTTTTTCTTTGTAGTGCTGCAGCCCCAAGAAACCCGTAGGCAGGATTCAACATGACAAAAATGGGCAGAAACCTCCATCCCGCTCGCCGGAGCCCCCGCCTTCCCACCCTCCGGCCCCCCAAGGAAGATGTCGTTGAAACTGCGTTTAACAGTTTAACCTAACGGCCCGGAGTCGCTGGAGGAAAAAAGGGAGCACCCAAAGGAGCACGAAAAGGACCAGGCAAACGAGCTATGGAGGATTATACTGCTTTCGCCAAAACACGCTTGACAAAATCTGGAAGAATAGCGACAATAGCACGGCAATTCCTTGGGAACATCGCAAGATTCCGAAACTTCAAATTCGCCTCCACAGCTCCCTCCTGCCCCCTCCCAGACCTGCCAAGTTCGCTTGGCGGGAGCCGGTCCCACAAAGCGCGTGGCAACCCTCTCCTTGAAAAACCTTTCAATGCCTGGGACTCCGGGGCACCCATTGGAGGCCACTTGTGCGGATGCTCCGTTCGCTTCCATGAGGCTTGGAGCCACTGGCACTGGGAGGTTCTCAGTCCTCACTTGGACAAGTCCATGAACGCAAGCAACGCATGCACGGCATCCTTCGTGGGGGCGGGTCGGAGAACCCTCTCTGTGCTGCCTGCTTGACTTCTTGGGCCGCCCAAGCCCAAGCTTCGCGGAGGCAACAAGCACTCACACTATGCAGTGCTCGCACAATGGTGGCATATTGGGAAATACCGACTCCCCGCACCCGGGGCTTGAAGCCTTGAAAAGCCACGGATGCACAGACTTGACAGATTGAAGCGTAAACATGCAAAGGCGACATAGATGACGATGGCGCAACTCCACAGATCGCTCGCAGCCAGAGCATGCCGATCTCCCTGTGAATCCTCGGAGTTAGCAGTTTGAAACGGATGGGCTAAAGCAAAAGTTTAAAAAAGCAGGTCAAAGCAAAAAACAAAAACAAAAGAGGTCACAAAGCAAAAAAAACATCCCGAACTTCGGAGTCCCCAGATAGCCCCTCCCCTTCTCCTCCTCCTCTGGTCCGAATCTCTGGCTGCTTCTGAGCGGCTCGCACCAAGGAGCTCCACCGCTTTGAGAAGAGCTCTGGTGCCATGTACGGGACGCTACCGTTCACCTCATGGTCAAGGATTGTTTTGCGGTATCCGAGTATACTCTGCATGAACATACTCCGAGTCGGCCGAGATCTTCTGGATGCTCACGGATGTGACACGCAGTTCGGAGCAAATTACTGTAGGAGCAGTTCGCGCGGCCTGGCCCTCGGCCTGGCTCTCCGGACACCTTGGGGTGCCCCCATGGTTTCTGTCTTTCAAACTCGAAGCACTTTGTTTTAGCTCAATGCACAAGTACACATGCATACTCTTGAACGTACGAGTACTGCTGATAAAGCATCTTGAGTCACTGCGTTGCGCACCGGATGTGAGTGGCGATGCCAAAGTCAGCCAGTTTCAGCGTGGCACCTGCCGCATCCTTGCAAGGGGGAGTTGTGGTGCTTTACAAGTGCTTTACAAGTTTTTTGCAAGTGTTTTGCAAGTGTTTTACAAGTTTGTTACAAGTGTCATACAAGTTTTTTGCGAGTGTTTTGCAAGTGTTTTACATGTTTTCCTTTGCTTGTACACACCTCACTCCACCTGACGGTCCGCACTCTGACCCGCGGCCTCTTCGACGGTCCCTTCTAGCAAAAAGTTCTCGGGCCTGAGGGCAGCAAGATAGGTCAAGATACACCCAGATCATCCCAGACACAACATAGAGCCAAAACACTCCATAAGCAAGACAATGTGAACATCCACGAATGTCCATGATTTTTGCTTTGATCTTGGACTCCAGCTTCACATCCCGATGAACAATGCCCATGGAGTGGCAGTACCTCGCGATGAGTTTTAAGGATGGAAGGCAAATATCCTTACATGCACTTCACCGGAACGAGAACGCTTCATACGCATGCATATGCAGCGCACGCCAAGGCCATGAGCATTTGCTCTGCAAAAGACCTTGCAACGTTCTCCGCTAAATGACCATTCGGAGACTCTGTCACCAGACCTCAGAACCCAGCTGATCATGGCCACTCAAAATCTGCCAAAGGCAGACCACTCGCTGCAACTTTTGTAAGAAACGTGTAAGTACCGCACTGAAAAGATCGCCGCCGCAGCAATACTCCATCAGAAGAAAGACTGCCTGAGAGCCACGCTTCGCAACAAGCTAGGCAACAAGCTTCGCAACTCGTTGAAATTCCTCGTCCCACATGCCGTCTCCACATGTTTCCACCACACTTTGGAGAACCTGCAATGCCTGCTATAAGCTACATGACCGGGGAGAAGGTTCCCGGATGTTCCCAGCCTCGGCATCTTCGTTTACCTCGTAGAGGCGAACAACATTCGGGTGGTCCAGCATGCGCAGATTCTGGCAGCAGCTTTGACAGGTAGACGGACAGCTTTTGGACTGGTCGTGAGGATCTCGGTACAATCGATGCGACTGCCTTGATCTCAGCCCGCAGAGCGCCGGAGTCTTGCTCTGCCTATCCGCACGCCGTCGCACTCCGCCGCACTCCGCCGCACTCTGCACCCCTCAGATCATATCTGCTTTCGCCCTCTGACCCTCGCCTTGTGCAGAACTTTGCAGGCATAGTACTGCTCGCTGACTTTGTGCTGAACCTGACATGTTTACCATGGTCCCATGCCAGGCTTTTTGGGAAGCTGACAAGTTGATCTGAGCAAGCTGCAATGAAGACCGCACCATTTCTTCCTTCTCCCACGAGGTTAACCATGTTGTAGTCCTGGTACCTCAAAGAATACACAAAGAAGCGATGGCACGTGTAGGATTTCATTTCGAATCCGATGTTCTTTGACGCGCACGTGTCGCTCAGCTTCCTGTGCCAGCAGTGCACCAGGGCATCTCCTGGTGCCCAACGGAAGGATGTCGATGTCATTTGCTTGGAAACCTCAACTTTTTCACATCTCTTAGCAGCTTAGCACTCATTGTATGTCACGCTATGTCGCTTTACATTGCTCTAGATAGGCAACATCGCAAAATTTCGCAGTCTCAGGAAAATCTCTCGGAAACCCTGATGCTCGCATGTATATAGGTGCAGCACGAAAGTGGAGTTGACGGACGAAAACGATGATGTGGGGGTTGCATGTGGAATTTCACCTGGCCATACAACACGAACAGCTTGTATAGAGCTCTGCTACAAGCTTAGACCGAAGATGTCCAAGGAGATCGGCCTGACAATGCACCGGAAGACTTGGATCGGGAGTATGGCGCAACGCCCCTGCATGTGCACATGTGCGTTCAGTGCTCCTGGCCTGCTCTCAAACTCATACCGACTCATACCTGACTCACGCCATCTCACCGCCTCTCACTGCTGAGAGACGCGTTGGATTTGAAGCTGAGAAGTGGTACAGGACCTGGAGCCCGCCTGGCACCAACTGCAAAGTCACGTGATGCCGAAAATGTCATGTCCCGCGCCTCCCCTTTTTTTCAGGCGTGGTGACGGTCTCCGTCACATAGTTCACCTCTCCACAGATCCCATAGAGTTCCGAAGCTGTAAGTCCTATGACCAACACGGGGCAGACTCGGCAGACCTGTTCCACGTCTCGTCTGCTGGGGATGGGAATGCCGATCGTGACAGGCGGAGCGTTGGCCTTTGAGTCATGAAACCCAGCGTCGCAGTCTTAAAACCCGATAGGAAAACTGCGACATGCTGCAACCTTCGCGAAATTTAGACAATTCAGGTGCACAGTCAACCCAGCTTGGAATCGTGCGACTGCACTTCGACTGTTGACTGCATGCTCGTTGGGGTTGAGCCATGACTTCGGGAAGAAAGAACTGGGTCTAGAGTCTAGGTAAGAGAAACAAAGGAGGGCCTGGTCCAGAATCGCTAAATTAAAGCTGGTGGGCTGGTTTCGATCCCAGGTCGATTTCTGTCGGGTGTCGTTCGTGAAGAACTACGGACTAAAATCTACTTTTAGCCAAACCGCTGCATATCACTGGGTTGCGTCGCGGCAAACTACTGCGGCATGCTGAAACTCGAAACGTCGGGGACAGCAGTGCTTCGGTTGACCCCCTGTGGCTGACAAAAAGCAGGCTGTGTTTTTAATGATGTGTGACGTGAGTTTCGGGCTGGCGAGCACCGAAAGTTACGGATCGCAGCAGACGGCATGTATGTCAGATTGGAGCCTTCGGACGCGACCTCATGACCAACCCTGTTCTGTTGAGGGAGGGGACGGCCACGCTACCAGCTCCCTCTTTCAAGGAAATGAGCGGGATGAGGGAGAGAAAGAATGCGTGTCATTGTGAAAAAATCAAAGAACATGCAATCCAACATTCGACAACGCCGAGATCCGACCATGCACGTGAGCGACTCCGCATTCATACATATACAAGAAACATCAAGAAGCCAAGAGTTCGTGCGAATATGCTACACTATACTTTATACTACACTGCACTTTAGGTAGGCACTGGCTACTTGGTGGACCTGTCTGGAACGAATTGCGAGTGTTGGCGGAGCCTGAACCTCAGCCATTCGTCTGAAGGATGCGATCTTCCAGCATTCTAGAAAATTCAAGAAGGCTCTCTGAGTACAGGGCCTCCAGATGGCTTGTTGCACCCGGAAGCTGAGCCTCGAGGGTACAATTTCGTCGTCAGCTGTGCCTATGCTGCAACTGGCTGCAACCATGAGCTGTCCGCAGCCTCACAGTCCTCCCTCGTAACTTGGCTTGGACCGGGCACGGCTGCCTTACGGACAGTCTGGCCATGCTCTGTGGCAGGGCCGTTGTACCGCGAATACGACCGGACTTCTACATACTTCTACCAGCCTGTGGACATGTCTCTGGCGTGGCCATGGCAGTCGGAGGCGCGAAGACGACTTCCCGTCCTCAGAGCGGCTGTTTCTGGACACTCTGTGGAGTCTGTGTGCAACAAGGCGGTTTCCTTGCGGCGGGCTGGTAGACTGACCACGGCACGACACTCCTGCAAATCTCACATTTCAAGCCCACGACAAGAGCAACAAAAAGAGCTCAATTCAAGCCTCCGCACCTGGTAAACAAAGACCTCCCAAGCCAGGAGATGGCGCTGGGTAAGCAGTGCTCAATGCCTGTCAAGAAAGAGCAAACAGGAAAAACAGCTCAAATTCAAGCTACTGGTGGCCACGTCTGCCCGTGGAGCTATGCTTCGCCCTGCCGTCATCTGGGAGGTGGCGTCTTGCATCTCAATCCCCAGCTGTGCATCCACGGGCACCCTGGCACACACCAAGCATCACTAACAAGATAACTTCAGTGTCAGGTGTTGCCGACTGGGGCAAGAGCTGTGCGCCGAATCTCCGCTGAGGACGACATGTGCCACGCAGTTGAAAGCAAAAGCTTGCAAACTTCAAGAGCTCTGGGCATAGGGTCGGGAAAGCTCTATGTCATGTCTGTCCCTTGATCAGTTGTGAGTTGCGTCCAGGCACAGTTTGGCATCATCGGAACGCTAAGATCATGCTTTCGGCTTTCGACTTGTGTAGAACCTCTTAGGAGAGCTGCGGCTGCAGCAAAAAGAACATGCGTAGGACAAACTGTAGCAGCTTCGAGGTTTTTTGCAAAAAAAACTGATAGGGGCCACGAACCTGAATGCAGACATGTGTCACATACACCGCGAACATACACGCGATGCGAACTGGCGCGTCTTGTCTATGCCTCTCTCTCGATCTCCCTCTCCTCTCTCTCTCTCTCTCCCTCTCTCCCTCCCTGTCTCTCTCTGCACGCTTGACACCCCCGAAGGGGAGGCCACCCCAAAGGCTCGAGTTCAACCTGCATTCCTCGGAGTGAAAACGCTGCAGCTGCTGGTGGGGGGAAGGGAAAAGTTAGCTGTAGTTTGAGCCCCCCAACGCTGTTCGAAAGAATGTCCGCACCCAAAGAAGCGCCAGCCTGTCTAGTGTTGCAGAAAGTTGCCGCCCCGAATTCAGGCCACGGGCAGGTAAGAGTATGGTATGACACTGGTATAAGTACAGAAAGGCTCAAAATGTATAATTTCCCCTCCATCCCAACGGAGGCCTGCCTTTAAGATTCAAAGGCCTGGCCTTTTAGCCAAGAGGCCAGGGCTTAGAAATCCAGAGCCCAGCGCCTGGGGCCAGGACATTTGTTAAAGCGGGTCCCGAAACAGCGCTTATTATTCGCAGGCTGCCTTCCTCACCCCTTTGCCGAATTGATCGAGACGACTTTTCTATATGGTTGCTTAAAGGGAATTCTTGATTTCGTGTCAGTTGGGATTTCGGATTCTGGAGAGAAAATCTGGGCTTCGGGAACGACTTGGCTTTAAACAGGAACCCCCAAATGGACACAGGGTCCTGAATAGCCCAGCAAACTTGACTTTATTCTGGAGGCACAAACGCTCCCACCGAGCGATGTCGTGCGAGCGACGCCGAGCGTCGAGTGAAGACGAGCATCAACGAGTGAAGCCAAGTGATGTCTTACTCGTCTTCACTCGTCCTCACTCGTCTTCACTCCTCGTCTTCGCTCATCTTCGCTCATCTTCGCTCCTCTTCGCTCAGCGTCTCTCGTCTTCGCTCGTCTTCGCGCCTTCGTGTGTCTTCGTTCGTGTTCACTCGTCTTCGCAACTCTTCGTTTGTCTTCGCTCGTTTCCCTTTTTTGTCTTTGCTAGCTTCTTGCTTGCCTTCAAATGACTTCGTTTGTCTTCGCTTGTCTTGGCTTCCGGAAACAGAACTTGGATGACCTTGACGGAATCCAAGATGAGCTTGAAAACGGTGTCGTTGCTCCTTGGCGGCTTTCAGGGATGCTGCTAGCTTCAGGTCTAATTTAAGGCCAGGGAGTTTTCACGCGTTATGGAGGTCTGACGTTGACTGTCTTGAACTCTAGATTCTCAAACAGCCTCCACCTCTTCATGGTTTAGATTTGTGGGGTGCCTTCGAACTTTCGGACATTCGTAGCCCAGCGACGCCGAGCGACGCCGAGATGCCGAGCGACGAACGATGACGGGCGACGTCGAGCGCCGAGCAGTCGCTCCTCGTCGCTCGGCTCGTCGTCGCTCGTCTCGTCTTCGCTCGTCTTCGCTCGTCTTCGCTCGTCTTCGCTCGGTCTCCCGTCTTCGCGTGTCTTATCGTGTATTTGCGTCTCCGCTTGCCTGCGCAGATTTCCGCACGACCGCGCTACCGACGCAATCATGAAGCCTTCAAGCCCTAAACTCCCAATTTTATCAAGGCCAATCGCGGGCAGGCGCCTCCTCTTGAATTCCCCCTTGGGCCCCAAGCCCTGAACGCTGAAGCCTACTTCAACCCTAAACCCTCACCTCTGAAGGCCCACCCCTACAGCTTCAAGGCCAAACCTAAACCGCCCAGGACTCCTAAGCCCTGGGCTTCGGGTCATGGCGGCAGGGACAGCCCATGTCACTATGCCCAAAGTCAAAGGTGGGACAACGTGTTTTGAAAAGCGGTCCAAACCATCGGGGGTCGTAGCTTTGTACAAGCCCGCACCACCTTCGCCGCGGTGCCCACGCAACTTGGTGAAACGACCTGGAACAGACTGAAATCGATCTGCTCGCCTTCGCTCACTCGGCATCCTCCAGGCCCTCGTCGCCTGATGCGAATACGCGAGAGCCCCTGCTACTTACAATGTTCCTGGACCAGGCACCTGCTTGCGCGGGAGCCATTTCCTGAGTCAGAAGTGTGTACACACCCTTCGACACTCCCTTCATCTCTTCGAGGAATGCCAGGCTTCTGGCCGCAAGGCTGCTGTCAGCGCTGCCAGCGCTGCTGCCAGCGGCGAGGTTAACTGTCGCCGGGCTATGAGCATTGCATCGGAGTGCAAACAACAATCGCTTCATTCGCTTCGTTTTTAGGCGCGGGCCTGCCACAACTTCCTCTGTGGACACCTGCACTTGGCAAGCAAAAGACGAGCTGTCTGCAGCACAAGTTCTTACGCTGTGCAACACCTGTGTGTTGATCGGCGCTCTTTCAGGGTACGAGCCGCCCGAGCGCTCGCCGCCCTCGGCCTGCAGAGACCACTCGCTAGGTTGTGGCAAGTCCCTAAGCGTAGCTGACTACACTGGCTCGCACATGCTCACAGCGCGTATGCAGATTCAGACTCAAGATTGCGTACCTACATACTTGGGATCCTGGATGCGAGATCCCGCAATATCGTTTGAAGGCCCGTTTGGTGCCAACTTGGGTGATACTTGGGTGCCTTGGATTCAACTTGGCCCTGAATTCGGTTCAAGAAATGTGTCACCAATGTTAATTTTTCCCCCGTCCAAAAGGTAACGACCCAAAGCACACACACACACACACGGCAGCAAATATCGAGATTATCCTCCTCTTGCATTTAAAACTGTAACGCATGATATGTTGCAACATCGAAAACTCCAAACAACTTTATTCTGGGCGAGGACCACCCTGAGTCTCCTTCCTGCCTCGGCTAACCACGCCGCCATCCTGTCCACGTTGCTCTTGATGTTCTTCTGCAGCTCTTTGTAGCGCTCGGCCGCTCTGCTGATGTCCTGCAGCGCACGCTTCTCAGAAACCATGGCCGAGTAAGTAAATTAGGTCGACTGAGTCGGCCTGGGATGCTTCGCCCAAGGCCGAGCCATCACCAAGACTTTCTGCTGCTAGTTGCACGGTCTCTTTCCATGCCTGCAGGGCTCAAGCGACCGTCAGTGGTCATACGCAAGCTACAAGCTCTCAAGAGGCTCAAATGGCTCAATCTAGGCTTTCTTCGGGGATTGCCTGGTGCAACAAGCTCGCGGCGCGTCCATGCAGCGACTTGAGCTTCCCCACCTTGTGAACATGCAGGGTGCGTGGTGAGCAGGGCCACGTGGGGCAGGCACATACATGCTCTGCAAGCAAGCAGTTGCTTCAGAAATCTACCATCTGCGCGTCCTTTGCCAGCTCCTGCGCAAGTGCCACTCATGGCTACCCACACACACACACACACACACACACACACACACACACAGGACGTGACGCGGACTTGCCTTAGCCTCGGGTCCCCACACTTCTGCATGCCACCCGGCTAATAGTTCCTGCCAAGTGAAAGAGCCCCTGCCTTCAGTACTCGCACGAATGAATCGTGCCTCCAACGCACATCCCCGCTCCTTCTCGGACCTTGCGAAGTGATGCCAAGTGCTTTCACATTCTCCAGGTCTTGCTGTTAATTTGAAAGTTCTTCTCACATGGGCGAAAATCCCTGGCACATGTACACAGCCTTTTTCCTTTATGCATAAGCTTCAAGCAACCTTTTGTCTCTAGAGGCATGAAAAAAACTTCAACTTCCGAGAAATAATTTCATGCTGAAAACTTCCAAACTCTGAACATTTGCCTGGTCTCCTTTCAAAAAACAACGTCTGGAAGCCTAAACATGCCCAGGTTTGCATTCGAAGCCTGGAAGCCAGCCACTCCCGGTTATCAATGATCAACAAGTGCGACAAGTAGACCACCAAGCCCCAAGTTTTCGAGGGCTCCCAAGATTGATAGCCGTTGAGCTTGCAAAAGGCCAGGATAGGCCAGAATGCCCCCAATGTCAAAAATTGATGATATGCCTCTCTGGACATGGCTGGGAAAGCCAAGACTAAACTCGCAATTCGATCCGCCTCTAAACCTTCTATGTTTGTTCTCGAAAGTGAGGAACTTTCAGGAATGAAACCCTGGACCAAAATCCTTGCCGGTGCTTTCGTCCAGGGGCTCACTGAGAAACCTAAAGCAGTCTAAAGCAATTGCAGCGGCAAGCTGCCAACAACTGCAGACAAGATGCTGGAGGCACATTTGTGCGGCTCGAGGCTGCTGTTCTTTCAAGTAGTCGTGAGCCGCACATCTGGCCTGGTTCGGTTTCGAGCATGGTTTCGGGGACCTTTATGATTATTACGAGTATGGCGTTGAGGATCTTCAGAACTACTCCCGGTATATGGCTATTGCGGCTATGAGGGTGTTCTTGCTCGTCATGCATCATCTTTCGACAAAAGCCCCAAGTCGAAAAGGCACGTTTGCTGTGTATCTGGCAAGTTCAGGAAATTCTGCATGCAAGAACGGTGGCTGTTGTTCTTTCAAGCAGTCTTCAGCCACATCTGGGAAGGCTTCACTCATTCCAACAACCTGTGCGAACAGCCTTATTGCCTCAAGACCTTGCAAGCTCTGCAAATCCAGGGCCGAGGACTGCGGTTGCTTCCACTCGGCTTGCCAACAATTCCTGCGTGAAGCAGCATGCCACAGAAAGGAGGAGCATGTCATGTGATGTTCAATCATCTTCATAGCCATCCTCTATGTCGCGCGATGCGGCGCCTGCCTGGCCAAGGGCTGTAACAAGGGCTGTAAAAAGGGCTGTAAATGCGCCTTGTGTTTCAACATGTTTCACCCCACGCTCTTCGCCTCGAGGAGCAACCGCTGTCTGTCACCCACCTTGCGAGCCTCCACCTGCCAAAGCCACTCACGTCTGACATTCTGACACCAGCCCTTCGTAATTCGCAAGGCCTCTTCGATAGAGAGTTCCCGCTGCAGCTCGCCCGCGACGCGCTGTGCACTGGCCTTTACCTGCACGCAATATCACGCAATCATAACAGTCTGCATATTGGAAAGTTGTGGAAACGGCCGCAAAGGAAACCTGGCGTTCACGATCTGCAGAGGCACGTTGTGCAGACACAGCCTAATCGACTCAGCTGTCGCAGCCCTCGAGGTATGAGAAAAACGTTGACTTCACATACTCAGGCAATAGGTCACGGACCACTTCGATCTGTTCATCCACCACCTCCAAAGCCCAGATGCTGGCTCTCAAAAGGCAGGTCAAGCTGTCAAGCTGAAGCTCAAGATCCACATCCAGGGAGCAATGCGGGAGCAAGGCTTCGTCAGGATTCCCGAGAGCCTTCAGCTGCGAAGCGAGCTCCTCACGTCGCTGCCGGAGCTCCAGAATCCGGGCCTCAAGAGCCTCGCAGGACCCTCTTGCCATCACGAGGCAAGAAAGGGGGGCAGAATCGGGTGAATCGAGGGGGGAGGGGGGGGGGGGGTAGAGGGGGTATGCATTCTCCGTTGTCGCCTGCTGCTCTTGCTGCATGGAGTCGATCTCGGCCTGGAAAACGGTTAAGATGGTTAAGGTTGCGCGATGCTCCGCCGCTGAGATTTGGCCTGGAAGCCTTCAGAGCTGCTTGTGAGCCTGGGATCGAACAAAAAGCATCGCGGGTTGACTACTGTACAGGGTTTGCTGTGACGACCTGGGCTCATGGCTGCTGATTGAGACCACCACCGGCCTGGAGCTATTCAAAGCCCCAGCACATCTCAAAAATGGCATGTGGCGTCGTGGCTTTGGCAAAAGCGGAGCATGGAGGCAACTGCTCAAGCACGCCAGTATGACAGTAGCCCTTGCTTCTGCAGCATTGGACAGCGCCTTTGCAGCGTCACGCAGATTGCCATGCAAGCTACTTATCAAATGGGAACACGGAAACACCATGTGTGCTGCGCGCTTCGTGACGTTGCAACGAGGCTGAGATCTACTAGCAAGCTGAAGCAGCCGGCACTGTGAACGTCTCCTACAAGTAGGAATAATCAGATGCGCCATTTAGGAGAGGGGACCCTGACATGGGGGGGGGGGGGGGGGTGCAGTTCTCGATGCAACCGCTGTTCTGAAGCCCCATAACTCATGAAACCCTTCATGTGCCACTACACGCTGGGCACCGCCAGCTGCAGTTTGGACAAATACATATGAAAACCACAAAGACAAAACTGCTGCTTAGCTAAATGGAGCCTGGGGTAAGAGTGACGCCATCCATTTTGTTGGAAAGGGAGCATGCGGTTTCTGAGAGGTGTGCAGTCATGCGAGCTTCGCTTTCCATCCGCATGGCAGCCAGCTGCTGGGCCTAGTGCCAACAACATAAACAACATTGTTCAGATATGTGAAGATATGTGCAGATGGCAGCTCAGAATCTGCCATTCGACAATCGCCGGCAATCAGGCACCCGCCATTCCCTCCAAAGGGTCTCGTTGAGGTTGTGCGAGCGCCTGCTGGGACAGCTTGTTGCACACCTCGGACTCCGAATTGAATCTGCGCGAGACGGCACGTTTAGGCCACGCAAAGCCATGGATTGAACCAATGTGAACCCTGAGCGGTACTGAAATGGGCTGCTGACTCTTCGCAAATTGCGGAAGTGGCGGCTGCACTCCTGGATGCGAACTCTGTGTCTGAAAACACTTCTTCACTGCAGCCAGCTTCTTTGAGCCTCTTCACGTACAACGCACTGCAGCAGTGCACGCCCCAAGACAACAACCCATGCCCTGCAACTTGCCTCCGCTCGACTCACCTGTTGATGCAACACAACAGCATTTCACGTGCCGCGTCAAAACACGTGATACCAGGGGCAATTTTTCTTTCTCGTCCTTTTGTAACTCTAGACTGTCTCCCACGAAACCGGTGAAGTTGCACTTCTTGCATGGCTGCAGATGCTTTGAGGCAACCCAATCATGTAAAATGTAAAAAAGTTGGAGCATGCTTCGTCGTGCGCTCGAAGAGCCTTATAGCGAGCGGGAAAACGATCCTTTCCCACGTGTCTTCGTTTGCTTCACTTCACGCACTCCGAATGTCCGAACATCCTTTCCATGGCACATCGTGGCACACCCACTACAGCTCGTGGCCGCTCACTCGGTTCATTGACCTCCTCCTTGACATGTGGCAACACATGTCTTCAATTGTGCTGTATGCAAGCTTTCGTTTCCAATCGCATACCTTGGCCCTTCACTGCCTGCGATCAGACTGTTGTGGGCAAACCCACATACCACAAGGCCCATGACTCAGAGGACCCATCGGCACAACCACAAAACTTCGATGAAGGCACCCGGGGGAGCTCAAGATGGCAGACAACGCATATCCTTCAATTGAGCCATCGCGCGAATTCTCGTAAAGGCAGCTTGTAAGATCACCACTTCCTGTCGGCGCAAGGTTCGTAGACACAGATAGGTCTGGCAGCAAAGAGCAGAATTGTCCATGAGCGGGCCTCGCCTGAATTCTATTGAATGGACCTGTGCTTGTTGCATCTTTTCTACGAACCCAATGTGGATACTCAGCCCCCTTTGACCTGAACATGCTGCCGAGACTCTGCCGAGCTGCACTTGCTGGCACAAGCTTCGGACTACAAAAGTAGCCCGTGCAGTTCCAAAGTCTCCAAGCTGATCCGTTGCCAACCCGGGAATGACTGGGAGACTCTTTCGGACCTTTCGGGCCTGTCGGGGATGTAAGCGGAAAGCACGCCCACAAGGATGCGGCCTGGAACTGCCAGTGCAACCATAGGGGGGGGTTCCGACGTCACCTGGGCCGGCTTCATCCCCGACCAAGCGATGCCCGAGCCTCTCCCTGCCAGGGCCTTAACCAGCTGCCGGAATCGTTGTGTTCGTGGTGGGCTTCCAGCCCCAGAGTGTCCCGTGCAGGATGTGACATTACAGGTCACTTGTTCCCCTTCTTCCCCGTTGGCCCAATGGATCCATAGATGCCATAGACATCGCAGGCCCTACTTCGCAGGCCTCTGCACACAGCGGGTTGCGAGGACCCTCCATGCAGCCCTAATGCGGAAGCTGCCAACCAATAGACTCGTGGCACCGGCCAGCACCAGCCGGACTGCTTCCCCGTCACCGGCGGGGCAACAACAGGAGCATCAACAGGAGCCTCTATGGGGCACACACAATTGCACCGACAGGCTGCCTCACCTCAAGGGACTCCAGGATGCAACATCAGCGCATGACACCACTGCCATGGCATCAGTACAGCTAGGATTGAACCGAATTCACTTGGACGGATGCACCGCTGCAATGCAACTTCTACTACAGTCTTCTGTGATGCATCAATCCGTGACAGCTGCATAAACCCGGGCATGCACAGTCCACCTGATGATGCCAGCGTGCCACCTCTGCGCCAGGACGAGCTCGGAAATACTTAGTTCTTCGAGTTCTTCGGCCAAGTCAAACACAGCTAACAAACATTCTCAAATAGCGGCCTTCCCTTCGCCCGCATGCTCGGGTCTGGCTGGCCTGCTGGGACTGATGGTGACCTGATGGGTGACATCATGTCTACAAGAAGTTCAACAACGATCAACGACTTCATGAAGTGATATGAAGTGATGGATGAAGCAGTGGTTTCGTTAGAGTAGATCAAAACTGGGCACCAAAAGCTTCTGCAGGTGCTGAATCCGACTTTAATCGCGCTCGGTTTGCCGGGTTCACATCTTTTCCTTTCTTAGCTGCCTACGCTGGGCAAAGCCCGGTCAACGAAGGAGCTGAAAGACCCCGTAAGGAACTTCTGCAAAGTAGATTAGGCAGCTACATTGTGTCAGTGTGGATGAGCACCGACGCATGTTCGCACGAGTCGAAGAGTGGGAGTACTTGCTGCACACAAATTCTCGAGTAGATAAGTGCAGTCGCTTCTCTAAAGGCGCACGCGTAAAAGCTCAGCATAATTAGCGCAGCAATGCTCAGTTGTTAGCTGTCAGTTTTGCACATTCGTTGGTACAGTACTGTATCAAGTACAAGGGATGGAAAAACAGGGTGAAGAGACAGTCATCCCGTCACCCCGAACTTCAGGGGAGCATTGTCTTGTTTTTTCAAAAGAAAGTGTGGGCCAGCAGAGCATCCTGTCCTGTACTGGTCCTTACTCCGAAGACGAAGAGTCCAATATGCCGGTCTTGCAGCCACACGGTAGCCATGAACCGCCAGCCCTCCTGACAATCCTGGCTCGCCATGAATCTGCTTGTACGTTTTCGTTCGCGTGTGTTGGTGGATGGCTACTCTGAGAGCGAATCAGAAGTAATCTGAGCGCGCATCTCTGGAGGCTGATAGTCGGGTGAACTGCCTGCAAACGTGCTTTGCATGGACGACGCGGTCCCATTCAGCTGCTGCACGCGGAACAACTTTCAATCTAAGCACGACGCAGTTCATCACTGCCCGTAGAGCAAAGATACTCGTCTTCCTGCATTAGTGGGGAAAGCAGCACCTGTGCGACTACCTACACATGCCAACACCAATCCAACGACCACTTGCTGTGAACCATCCGCCATTTCCGGCCTCACCCACTCCTTCGGTGCCTCGTCGGAGCCAAGCAATTTCCACCCGATCAGCAGAATGTCCAACGACCTTTCAGGAATACTTTGCAAGCAGAGCATTGATCAGCAAGTAAGCCATGAAGTCCATCATGTTAACTCCACATGCTTGCTAGGATTTGCGAGCACATGGTCCAGACGCTGTCAAGAAGTTGCCACAAGCATTGGTCTTCTGTCGAAGAGTCAAGCACTGGCAAAGCGCAATAGAGAGTGAATGGTACTTCTACCGAGACGGACAATGGCCGGGGTCAAAAAGTCTCACATGGGACCCTACCAGAACCTCAGGATAAAACAAAAAGGCGGCAGAAACTTGACACGAGCAGCACGGGCAGAATGGAATGCAATCAAAAAAACATACAGAACAACTCAAAAGCAGGTTGCCATGGGTTGCCCATGAACATCGTGACAGAGTCGGAACCAAGACACAAAAATGATTCCAAAAAGGCATATAGGCGAGAGGGTTTGGTTTTGGCGTCCTGCCTGGGCTTACTTCCCGTTTCCTCTCCTGCGCTGCCTTTCCTCGCTTCCAAGTTTTCCTTCAATCTTTTTCCCGCCTCCCCGTCTTCCTCCCTGCCTTCCCTAGAGCACGAGTTCACTGCTTCTTTTCAGTGTGGGGGGTAGACCCCAAGTTATTCTTTGGTTTGTCTTAATCACTGCCCTCATCTCGCTTTGTAAAGCTTTGGAAGCACTATGAAGGAAAAGGCTTCGTCAGCGGACAACAATGCAGCGCAGACGACACCTTGAAGGCGCTTTCTCTGCAAACGCTCCAGAATCAAGAAGCCGGCAGAGCCTGCCTAATTCATCACCTAGGTCCTAAGTGTGGGGACAAATTAACATTCGAAAGCATGCACCATAAACTAATTTTGATCAAGCT